CTAATCCCTGATCCTAATCCTAATCCCTAATCCCTAATCCTAATCCCTAATCCTAATCCTAATCCCTAATCCTAATCCCTAATCATAATCCCTAATCCTAATCCCTAATCCTAATCCCTAATCCTAATCCCTAATCCTAATCCCTAATCCTAATCCCTAATTCTAATCCCTAATTCTAATCCCTAATCCTAATCCCTAATCCTAATCCCTAATCCTAATCCCTAATTCTAATCCCTAATTCTAATCCCTAATTCTAATCCCTAATTCTAATCCCTAATTCTAATCCCTAATCCTACTCCCTAATTCTAAATCCTAATTCTAAATCCTAATTCTAAATCCTAATTCTAAATCCTAATTCTAAATCCTAATTCTAAATCCTAATTATAAATCCTAATTCTAAATCCTAATTCTAAATCCTAATTCTAAATCCTAATTCTAAATCCTAATTCTAAATCCTAATTCTAAATCCTAATTCTAAATCCTATTTCTAAATCCTAATTCTAAATCCTAATTCTAAATCCTAATTCTAAATCCTAATTCTAAATCCTAATTCTAAATCCTAATTCTAAATCCTAATTCTAAATCCTAATTCTAAATCCTAATTCTAGATCCTAATTTTAAATCCTAATTCTAAATCCTAATTCTAAATCCTAATTCTAAATCCTAATTCTAAATCCGAATTCTAAATCCTAATTCTAAATCCTAATTCTGAATCCTAATTCTAAATCCTAATTCTAAATCCTAATTCTAAATCCTAATTCTAAATCCTAATTCTAAATCCTAATCTAAATCCTAATGCTAAATCCTAATGCTAAATCCTAATGCTAAATCCTAATGTTAAATCCTAATGCTAAATCCTAATGCTAAATCCTAATGCTAAATCCTAATGCTAAATCCTAATTCTAAATCCTAATTCTAAATCCTAATTCTAAATCCTAGTTCTAAATCCTAATTCTAAATCCTAATTCTAAATCCTAATTCTAAATCCTAATTCTAAATCCTAATTCTAAATCCTAATTCTAAATCCTAATTCTAAATCCTAAATCTTAATTCTAAATCCTAATTCTAAATCCTAATTCTAAATCCTAATTCTAAAACTTAATTCTAAATCCTAATTCTAAATCCTAATTCTAAATCCTAATTCTAAATCCTAATTCTAAATCCTAATTCTAAATCCTAATTCTAAATCCTAATGCTAAATCCTAATGCTAAATCCTAATGCTAAATCCTAATGCTAAATCCTAATGCTAAATCCTAATGCTAAATCCTAATGCTAAATCCTAGTTCTAAATCCTAGTTCTAAATCCTAGTTCTAAACCCTAATTCTAAATCCTAATTCTAAATCCTAATTCTAAATCCTAATTCTAAATCCTAATTCTAAATCCTAATTCTAAATCCTAATTCTAAATCCTAATTCTAAATTCTAATTCTAAATCCTAATTCTAAATCCTAATTCTAAATCCTAATTCTAAATCCTAATTCTAAATCCTAATTCTAAATCCTAATTCTAAATCCTATTTCTAAATCCTAATTCTAAATCCTAATTCTAAATCCTAATTCTAAATCCTAATTCTAAATCCTAATTCTAAATCCTAATTCTAAATCCTAATTCTAAATCCTAATTCTAAATCCTAATTCTGAATCCTAATTCTAAATCCTAATTCTAAATCCTAATTCTAAATCCTAATTCTAAATCCTAATTCTAAACCCTAAATCTAAATCCTAAATCTGAATCCTAAATCTAAATCTTAATCTTAATCTAAATCTAATCTAATCTAATCTATCTTTCTAAGTATCTGTCTATCTGTTTGTTTGTCTGTCTGTCTGTCTATCTATTTACTTATCTAATATATCATATCCAATATATCTATTTGTTTGTCTGTCTATCTATCAATCTATCAATCTATCAATCTATCAATCTATCAATCTATCAATCTATCAATCTATCAATCTACCAATCTACCAATCTATCAATCTATCAATCTATCAATCTATCAACCAATCTCATATATCTACATAATCTATCTATTTATTTGTTTGTCTATTTGTCTATCAAACTAGTCTAATCTTCTCTGATCTTATCTAATCTAATCTAAGCTAATCTAATCCAACCTCTCTAATCTTTCAAGTCTGTCTATTAATCTATCTAATCTATCTAATCCACCTAGTCTACCTTTTCTATCTGATCTATCTAATATGCCTACTCTATCCAAGTGACCTTACCTATCTATTCTATCTAAATAATCTACATGAAAGCAAAGCAGAGAAAAAAAAACAGTTTCTCTTGAAACAAATTCCATTGCGGTCCTATCCTGTACAGTACTCTGACTGATGCAGGTTTCATGGAGTTTCCATGGAGTTTCCATGCAGGTTTCATGTTGGTTACATGCTGGGTTTGCTGATTTAGCTTACTGGTGTGTAACCTCCATGACAACTCCCTCGAACCTGCATGGAATCTGCATGGAACCTCCATGGAACCTGCATCAGGCAGAGTGCATGGTAAAACCAACAAGTGTAGATAGAGGCATCACCTCCATAACGCACATGGAAACTGCATGAAATTCTACATAAATTCTCCATGGAACCTGCATGGAACCTCCATGAAAACTGCATCAGTTAGAAGGCGCCATGCAACCATCACGTTTAGACACAAGAAACAACGGAACCTACATGAAACCTCCATGAAACCTACATCAATTCTCCATGGAACCTGCATGGATACTCCATCAAAGAAGCGCCATACAAGCACCAGGTGTAGATACAGGGAACAGAGACTTTTTTTTTAGTGGACACTACGTGGAAACCATCAGACGCTTTGACGCAAATTGATCGCAAATCGATCGTAAATCGATCGTAAACTGATCGTAAAAAAACGCACAAAAACTGTCATAGCATCTGTGCATTTTGATGTCGTTTTCACTAGGTCATCTGTCTTTGTTGATGTCCCTTTTTGTTTCTGCACTGAAAAAGTCAATTTCTTCCAGAGTTTCTATTTATCCTGAGTGTTCACTGCTTGGTGGTTTCGATTTTGGCAAGGTTTCAAATGTGAATTTTTGTTTGATGTCCTTTTGATGGAGTTTTATGTCTGTCTCGGTGTCAACTTGATGGAGGTTCCTAACATATAATATTGCAAACTAAGTTAATTAAAAGACGAAACCACCAAGAGAAATGAACTCACTTATGTCATCTTGGATTCTATGATCACCAAACCACATGAATATATGAATTGGCAAGTGCCGTTTTCTACAGGCCTTAGGTTCTTGTCGATGTCATATTGATGTTGTTTTATGGCCTTCTTATTCGTTTTTAGGCCGATGTCAAATCGATCGACAAAGGATCGCAAAATGATCGCAAAACAACGTCGAAATCCTACATCAAAATGACACATTACAAAGTCCACACTTGAAACCCTGGCCTTGCCAACATCAAAACCGCCAAGCAACGAACACTCAGGATAAATAGAAATTCTGGAAGAATTTGACTTTTCCAGTACAGAAACCTCAGCAAAGACAGATGGCCTAGTGAAAACGACATCAAAACGCACAGATGCTATAACAGTTTTTGTGCGATCAATTTAGTTACGATCGATTTGCGATCGATTTGCATCAAAGCGTCTGATGGTTTCCATGTAGTTTCCATTAAAAAAAACTCGAACATGTTCCCTGTATCTACACCTGATGATTGTATGGCGTCTTCCTTGATGGAGTATCCACGCAGGTTCCATGGAGAATTGATGTAGGTTTCATGGAGGTTTCATGTAGGTAACCGTTGTTTCTTGTGTCTAAACGTGATGGTTGCATGGCGCCTTCTAACTGATGCAGTTTTCATGGAGGTTCCATGCAGGTTCCATGGAGAATTGATGTAGAATTTCATGCAGTTTCCATGTGCGTTATGGAGGTGGTGCCTCTATCTACACTTGTTGGTTTTATCATGCACTCTGACTGATGCAGGTTCCATGGAGGTTCCATGCAGATTCCATGCAGGTTCCAGGGAGTTGTCATGGAGGTTACCCACCAGTAAGCTAAATTTGCAAACCCAGCATGTAACCAACATGAAACCTGCATGGAAGCTCCATGGAAAATCCATGAAACCTGCATCAGTCAGAGTACAGGATAGGACCACGCGGTTTCAAGAAACTGTTTTTCCCCCATTTCAAAAATAAATAGACAAGTACAGAAAAATGCACTAGAATTCAATAATCAATTAAACAATCACGTAAAATTATTGGACATTATTTAAATAAGTGTACATTTTCCGAGATACAAAATGAATATCAATTCAAAAACAAACCTAATCTGGTAGCAATCATTGTTGTTTTAAATGTTTTCTTTATTTTCAACGATTTCATTGTTTGCAGGGTTTGATATTTTTTGTTTTTTCTAAGTTTACAAAACCATAAATTCCCAGACTTCCAAACCACCAACCCAAACCACCACGTAAGCACAAGTTGATGGAAACTGGAATAAATGGAACAGAGTTTTTTATTTTTCAGAGGAATATAATCTTAGAATGTTGAGAGTCCAAAGTTGGATGAGCACGAATTTAGATAGATCAACGAAGGAGCAGCTGCAGCAATTTCAGCAGGACTTGCGCAAAATTGTACAGTTTTCTTTTTCTCATAAGATCTGTTGTAAGAAATCTTGGACTTGAATGAGCTTCCCGAGTAAAGTTGTGTTATTTTCATGGTTCCGGAGGCCCAAAACCATCCTGTAGGTTCAAGATCAGTTGTTGCGGTAGCTTCTTCCTGGCTGTAGATTTTTGTGATCAGGCCAAACTTAAGCATGAACAGCGTGCCACGTGGTTGGCAATTGGGTTATGATATATTAATACATATTCTCGCCTTGTGCATCGTACTAAGAGGATGTTGCAGAGGTGTAAGAATGTGGTGCCATTTTGGCTTAAGCCGTCCGGGGAAGAGCTCGTCCTTCCCTGAGACCCAGCTTTTTCACCTACACACCGGGGGGAAAGGTGACCAATAATTTTGAGAGGGGGGGGGAGCAATGTCCGGCTCCAGAAGTCATGATGACCAGGGGCTGAGTAAGTTGCCTCCCTCCTTCAAAGGAAACACCTTTAGGAGGGCAGCTCAGCCACCAAAGAGTCTTCTTGACGTTGGAAAGGCTGAAGGTCCCCCAGTAAGGTCGTCAGATAAGAGAGACTCAACCCCGAGGAGCGCAGAACCTTCGGGAGTCGACGAGGAGCCGGGAGCACCAGGCAGTGGTCTTTCCCGCCCTGGCAGCCCATCGTCATTGGAGGACATCACCCCCAGGAAGTTCTGTCTTGGCGCCACTTCCGGTCTAGTTGCAGCAGGCGCTTGGGCCGCTCGACTAGAGGTTGCCAGACTCCTGGAGAGCGGGTGTCACCCAGACCACCTCCTGTCTCTCATACGCAGAGGCGAAGAGGGTTCCACTCCGCTGCGTCTTGACTGGGACGCCAGAGAACGGAGTGAGTGTCTTGACAAGGACAGCGACCAGAGGTCCACTGCTTCAAGGCCGGCTCACGGGCCTTCAGATGACCGATCTCGGTCACCGCTGAGGTCGGCCTGGGAACCCGGGGAAGCCGAGGAGTTCAAAGAAGTCAAAGATCTTTTTGAAGGCGAAAAAATGGAGGATGTGATCGCAGAGCAAGCTGCCATCCTGTCGGAGATTGCCAAGAGCAAGGATGACCCTCCTTGGTTGACACCGAAGCCATCAGGATCTGGAGGTCCTTCCATTGGAGGTAAATCAAGTGGTGCAACGGTTCTTCGGATGACCACGAACGAGCAGACTTTTTCCAAAGTTTCTTCACCACCTCCAAGTGACTTCAAAACCGCTGCTCCAAGACCTTTCAAACGCCAACCTGACACCCCAGTAGCAGGCGAGGAGCTTCCCGATTTTAAACGGAAGGCTGCACCGCCGCCGCAGGGTGTGTTACCAGAACCCATCAAGGTGCCGCAGAGGCCACCACCGCCTCGCCCTGGGACGGGGACGTCCGCAAACTCCTTGGGAGCCCGAGAGAAAGAGGACCTGGACAGGTTCGCAAGAGCGGCCGTCGAGATCTACGAGGGCTTGGAAGTCGTTGGCATTCACATGGATCTGAAGAAGTACGTGCGCACCAGCAAGGGGATTGACAAAGAGAAGTTTTTGCTTCACACCGCACCGAACCGAGCATCAACCGGTTTGCGTTATGTGCGAGTGATGAAAGGCATTGTGGAGTGGATAGAGACCTTTGACCCCATTCCTGAGGAGGAGAGCGTCCCACCCCTCGAGAGACTGAGGTTGGTGGAGTACATTGAGCTCCTCATCCAGAAGGGGGTGGGGTAGACGTTGCTTTTCGCCATCGACTTCTTCAGCAAGTCCTTTGGCTTCGACCCGACTGGAAGCGAGTGGAATCGCGCCAAGAGACTGTCAGTGAAGTATAAAAAATCCAAACCAGGCCTGGCGAACAGGGCACCGCTTTTTGGGAAAGTTACGCTGGCCGCTCTGGAGAAGATTGTTTTGGATGACCTTGCATCCACTCCACATAGGATAGCAGCAGGAAAACTCAGGCTTTGTTGTCAGGCGTCTATCCGGTACGACGACCTGGTCCACACCCCTCTGAGACACCTGGAATGGGTGCGCCGCAGAGGAGGGACCAGGGTTGTTGGACTGAGAGCCAGGACGACACAAGGCAAGAACAAAGCCAGACCTTGGGTAGCGTCGCTCATGGCCACTTGTCGCAGCAGAGATGGTTGGCTGAGCACCCTGGTGGATCTGGTGCTGATGACGCACGGTATGTGCTGGCTCGAGGGCGACCACTTTGGAAAAGAGGTCACGCGAGACGGCGAAGGCTTCACTAGACTCCCGGCTCGCCTGGAGACAGACGTTTACATGGTCAAGGAGGCTCTCAGACAGTTCCAACGTACAGGAGGTGACCCCGGTATGACGGACCGGGAGCTAGATCTCTTGCGTTGGCATGGGGGCAAAGCCACACTGACCACGCTCATGCAGCACCTAGAGCTGGATCCGAAGATGATCAGACTGGCTGGTGATTGGTCCGCTAAGGAAGACACCATGCCGGATACTTACCTTCGAGAGGCTCAACTCATGGTGCTTAAGGGGCAGGAATCTTGCATGGCCTACCTGAGAGCGGGTGGAGATTTTGGGGGTTTGGTATCTAGTGGTTTGGTAGGTGGTGCTCCCCCTCCCGGTGATGGTGAGGTTCCATGCCCGGCCGATAGCCATGGCGGCGGAGCAGAAGAACACGGTGTCGAGCCAGAGGGCGCTGAGTCGAAGAAGCTGGCCGAGTTGGCGCGTCAGGCCGGCTTCCTGAGCGAATACCAGGGGGTGGTCGGAAAAGATCTCAACTCCAGCCTTTTTGACCGCGGGCTTGACGAAAAAGGGGAGCCTGTGGATGAGGTCGTCGGAGAAGAGAGAGAAAGGGGAGCCATCCCAGAAGAAAAATGGGCTGACCTCCTGGAATCCAACAACCCGGATGAAGACGTCTACGTGGTCTACAACTTCGACATGAACCCACCTGCGGTGAAGTCGGAACCGACAGACGCCGAGGAGGGCAAAGCCACAGGAGTGGGAGAACTCTCGGAGGGGCTTATGGACGCGGCAAGGCTTGAAGACGACGACAACGACTTGGAAAGCCACACCCTGAGGTTTGTGATGTTGGACAAGCCCACCGCAAGCAGTCGCCTCCACCTGCCATTCGTGGGAGCCTCTTCGGAGTCCTCGGCATTGTTGGTGCCTACACCTCGTTGCGGTGCCAAGGGGAACTACAGCTTCCTGGGCGCGGCAGAGGCGCTGGACCAGTCGACAGAACTATGTCTTCGATGCTTTGGCAGGAGATCTGAGGGAGCATGCAACAGATTGTGCGGAGTGAAGTAGTGAAGCTCAGAATGGGCGACGATGTGTACAGGTGTGCTAGGCGCTGTTCCACTTCTTGTACAGAATCCGGAGTTCATTTGTGTCACGTGCACGGTTTCTGAATATTTGTTTGGGTTTGGAAAAGGATGGACCGCCTCTGAGCATCGTGTGGAGCCTGTTGTTAACTTCCACATGAGTCCAGGGTTCACTCTAGCTGGTGCACGGTTCCTGAAGGAAATTATTTAAATAGAGCAGTTGAGCAGTGTCGTGTGGAGTCGTTGTTTTTCTGACAGCTCCCACATGAATGCGGGAACTAGGCCTGCCACCCTTGAGGTGACATGACGGCAACTACCGTTGGTGAGTAGTAGCCTTAAGGCCCAAGCCCCGATAGCCCGTCCCCTGGGATGACATCTCAGGGAGATCTTCCCGCTACGTTGTTGCGTGCAGCTGTGCGCTTCGACGTGGCGGAGAGCGACTTCTTGTTGCTGCAGCACCTTGGGTTCCACTCACTGAACTCCCTGGCTTTTAAGCTTCCGAAGGCGGAGGACCTGGAGAGGTTCCTTGAGGACCACATCCTGGGTTCTAGTGCTTACAAGCAAGGGGACGGTGTTGTGGTGACGTTCCCAAGGCAGCCGCCTGAGCAATGGGCCACTTGGAAGTTGTCGGATGATGCAGCTGCGCTCCGACGACTTTGGGCCTACGCCAGGGAGACCGCCAAGGGCGAGATCGAGAGGATGAGCAGCGGTGATGAATCTCGCCGCAAGATTACGCTCATCGAGGCCACGGCAATGGAGAATGCTGCTCTGGCCAGGGGCTGCCCAGAGCCGATTAGTGACAAGGAGAGACCTTCCTTGTACACGCTCAACAAACTGGGAAAAGCCTTGCAAAACCCGGGCGCCACATATGATGTCCTCAGCTGGGAGTCCTATCTATCCAAGGAAGAAGAGGACAAACTCACCAGAGAAGGGAAGCTTCCAAAGCACGGGCAAACCGAGCTCATCTTGGGGAGAGACTCCAGAGTGGTTGCCCGGGATCGCATGGACGAGTCCGTCTTGGGAGTGAAGAAGGTGAGCGAAATGGAGACTCTGAGAGCCCGGCTTGACCTCCGTGCTCGCGCTGCTGAGATGATTGATGTGGCGAGGTACACGACCATGAGGTCGTTGTCAGACCGTTACTACTCGAAGTTGAACACCAGCTTGGCAGAAGGGATGCGAGCACCGACGCTCAATGAACTCCGACGTTTTGACAGAGAGCTGCAAGTGACGATCTACCGCCATCTCAGTAGAGGACAAGGGAACCTCGAAGACGCCATCAGGTACTACGTGGAGAACGACGGGGACTCACTTTGGAGGCTGTTGGACCCGGTTCTGCGCCAGCTTCCAGATCAAGGCATTGAAGCCGGTGCTGAGCACGTGAGCGAGAGCAAGGGGGAGAAGAGAAAGGCTGAGTCTGGCCAGCCTGCCGCCGCATCGCCCGCTCCAGCCAAGGCGCTCATCACCTGCCTGATCTGTAAGAAGAAGCACGAGCCTTTGTGTCCGCTGCCTGACGATTTCCGTCAGAAACAACGGGACAGGAAGAAGGCCAAGCGAGCTGAGAAGCGTGTAGCAAAGGCTAAGGCAAAAGCTGCAGCCTAGGGAGACGGCATCCCCGAATCCGAGCCTACCGGAAAAAGGGGTGAGCCGATACTTGAAGTAGGAATTAGTGTTACAGATGTTTCACAGCCCCATACCCTTGAAGACTCCGGGAGACCTCGGAAGGTTAGGAGGATAGGGGATCTGAATTCAGTTTCTAATAGTTGGCTGATGACACCGAAATGGCAGATTTTTCAGCCAGACAGTGTTGGGAGAGGGCGGAGAAGGGGAAAGCTTTCACCTTAGAACACCCGGGTAATTCACTTGCACAGTTTTTGCCAAGCTGGGGACGCCTCATCTCACGCCCTGATGTCTACGTGATCTATTACCACACATGTAGATTCGAGGGCAGTAGGAGAAAGAAGTTTCAGATGCTTATCACCAATAGGAGCTGTTTCGTAGACCGCATAGGGAAGCTTTGTGAAGGGAAGTCATGCATGAGAACCCAGAAAGCCCATCTACGTTGGAGACCAACAGTCCATAATGGCCAGGTACTCCAGTTCCAGACTGGTGACGAGAGGGAGTACCCGCTGGGCTTCTGCCAGGAGTATGCCAAGGCGGCGGGGCTGGTGCTGGGGGAAGAAGGGATCTTCGTTGAAGTCTTCTCAGGTCCCAACGCGCCGTTGAGTGTCAGCGTTGGAGCAGAGATTGGGTGCCCCGTCCCCGGCTGTAAGCTGGAACGTCGGGGGAAAGGGGATAGAATCGAGCTCCATAACCTGTCTCAACTCGTTGGAGTCAACCCACTTGCAGCTTTGCGAGCGAGTAACCCTAGCAAGCGAGTTAGGCCGCTTGTGTCGGAACAGGAAGCTTTTTATCGGAGCGCGGCCGTGAGCGCGGCTAGACAGCCCGGGTATGGGAAGAGGGAGCAGCTGATTCCAGACGGCATGCAAGACCCCTCAAGCCATATAGACGCGGCTGTTAAGCTTCATCATCCTTTCTCCCTAGAAGGTTCCATTAAGGTTGACCACAGGGAAGCCCTGCTCAGGATGAAAACGCTGGAAGGCAATGCCTTAAAGGATAGGATGAAGACGTTGGCAGAGTGGAGGACTCTTGCAGCTTCCAAGGAAGTCTTGTCGGTGCAGGCGGTACACGAAACCCAGGCCAGTGATTGTGCCAGGAAGCTAGGGCGCAAGCCCCGCACCGCCCTCATGGAGGTGTTGGGTCTCAAGCACGGGATAGAAGATGAAGCGGTGCCAAGGCTCTGCCTCACAGGGATGCCAATAGTTGGTAGGGCCTTGGAGTCTCCATTCTTTCATCCTTACCACGTTCCAGCGTCGGTGACAGTGGCTGAGCTGCTGAGCTCTTCCCCCCGTAAACGGCCAGGCACCTTGAAAAGGGTGAAGCTTATGGGCCAGGCGGGAGGCGACACCATGGCGAAGGCCATCTGGGAGAAGACCCTCAAAGAAGTTGCGGCAGGCTCTATGGCAGGGCCGTACACCCTGAGTCAGATGGAGGAGAAGCATGGGAAGTACCTGAATATAGTCCCCAGTTTCGGTCTGAAACAGGGTGAGAAGTATCGAAGAATTGATGACCATACGGCTTCGCACAACAACCTTGCCGCAGAGAGGACACAGCAGATACAAATGGCCATGGTTGACTATCTAATGGCCATGGTCTCAGCTATGGGCAGAACCTTTCGAGGTGGCCTATGTATTGGGACAGAAGACATGGCTGGAGCCTACCGGCAAGTCCCTCTGACGGATAGCCAGGTACGGATCTCAGTCACAGCAGTCTACAACCCTGAGTACCGCAGAGTAGACCTGTTTGAAATTTTCGGACAGCCCTTCGGAGCCGCTCACGCAGTGCCAAACTTTTACAGAGTAGCAGAATGGGCCTGCAGGCTGATGGTTCGAGCATACGACGTGATGATCGACCACTTCTTTGATGACTATTTCATAGTGGTAAGACAGTTGGAAGCCGACGGCACCATGTTCTGCATCAGAGAAGCATTCAAGCTTATTGGACTGGTGCTTGATAACGAGAAGTCCCAGCCGCCAGGAGAATTTTCCCAGGTTTTGGGCGTGGCTTTCAATACCTCATCACTGCGCCAGCAAAGGATCCTCCTAGTCGAGCCCAAACCGACTAGAGTCTCAAACCTTTGTCAAATAGTCGACCGAGTTCTTTCAGAAAACTGTCTCCCTCCCAGCTTAGCTGCGAGTCTCCTGGGGAAATTCGGATTCCTCTGTAGCACTATGTTCGGGAAGGTAGGCAGATGCTGCACTGGCGCCGTCAGAGCAAGACAATACGGGCATCCTGACGAGACGCTCCTCACACCTCAGATCCGTACATCCCTTCAGCTCATGAAACTCTTTGCAACAACAGCCCCAAAGAGAGAGATGAAGATTGATGATCATGCTCCCCCCATCATTTTGTACACCGACGCGTCTGATGTACCAAACCGTTCCGAAGGTAGATGGGTTGTTGGAGCAGTGTTGATTGACCCTGTCACCTCGCTGATTTCATATACATCGTGGGTAGTTCCACAAAGTGTCATCCATACTTGGCTACCCAAGGAGACGTACATGAACCAGCTCGAGCTCTTTGCATGTCCGTTGGCCCTGAACACTTGGTCTACCACCTTGTCAAACCGACAAGTCCTCCTTTTCATCGACAACGACGCTGCCGCCTCTGCCCTAGTTAGAGGATACAGTCCCCGCCAAGACAGCTGCGCGCTGGTGGGAGATTTTTGGTTAGCAGCATCTTCCTCACGCCTATCAGTATATATCGATAGGGTTGAGAGCAAGTCAAACCCTGCTGATGGTCCCAGTAGGCTTGATTTTAACTTAATGCGTCAAATGCAGGCGCAATGGGTTCCACCCAATCCGATATCAGTTTTCGACAAACCCTTTTCATGGTTCGTAGCGCTGTGATGCTCCTTCACATCACAGTCTCATCACCGTTGTGAGCACACAACCACATCACAGGGAAGCAAGGAAGCCCACAACTTTTACATTGGGAAACGGGCTTCCCGTCCTGTGAAAAAGCGGTGAGGGTCTTTTTGTTAGTTGTAGCACGGGCACGTCGCTCACGCCTGAGTAGCTGCATTGACTTAAGACCGAGGGTGACGCTTTCCCAACGAACGTTAAAAAGGTGAGGCTGATTGAGCTTGCCAATCTGCATTTTGTTGGAGCATTCTGAAACCTAGCTATATCCTCGCCTTGTGCATCGTACTAAGAGGATGTTGCAGAGGTGTAAGAATGTGGTGCCATTTTGGCTTAAGCCGTCCGGGGAAGAGCTCGTCCTTCCCTGAGACCCAGCTTTTTCACCACACCCACCCACCCCAGGACGGGGAAACGGGCTTCCCGTCCTGTGAAAAAGCGGTGAGGGTCTTTTTGTTAGTTGTAGCACGGGCACGTCGCTCACGCCTGAGTAGCTGCATTGACTTAAGACCGAGGGTGACGCTTTCCCAACGAACGTTAAAAAGGTGAGGCTGATTGAGCTTGCCAATCTGCATTTTTTTGGAGCATTCTGAAACCTAGCTATATCCTACATTCCCCCTAATAAGGGATAATTTGCATACATTGAAAATCATTGACAGATATTCGGATGTATTGGAATATACCCCGCTGCCCAACCATTTCCGACCAGGGTGCCCTTGTCTTTGACGTTTCCTCATTGACTTTTCCTATTCGAACTTGGCCCCGACGAACATCGACGCAGGTTACGAAGTTCCACTCGATTCGTCCTCCGCAGTTGCCAATACGGGATTATCTTTTCAGGTGTGGCGCGCAGTGCCCAAGGTTCCCAGTGTTTTTTTCATTTTTTTGTCCTGGAAACTAGACACGCCCATAAATTAAGCATCAAACCAACTATCAAGAAATTGCCGAATAATACCATAATACCAGATTCTTGGTACATTAGATATATTACATAATACATATACAGTGGTGGACAAATACTCAGAATATTAATTGTTCAAACAAACACATTTTAAACATTCTAAGTGTTTTGAGTTTGAATACAAAACTGAAAAAGAGTTCGAACTTGGCCAATTTGTGAATGTAGTGTAAAGAGACAAGACAGACAAGACTTCGTATATATTTCTTCGGGGAACACAAATTGCCTGTTGTTGTGCTCTCCAAAGATTGGAGAATCTTGATGTACGGAACCCGGTCCAAGCCTGTGTCGATGATCAGTTGGGAGAGGGGAATACCCCTACAGATACACAACAAGAATGGGCAATATCATGGGCCAGGGGGATATCATACGGAGCGTTTACAACCATGGAATGTGGATAGCTAATGATAGCTATAGGGATAGTGGATGATAGTGGGACTTCACCAACTTCAAGAAAGTATAAACAGTCCTTACTATTCTTTTCAGCCCAGAGTGTGACGGTCAACATGTTGCCGCCAGGATCGCCAGGTATTTTCAGTGCAGCCGGGAATGCTTTGTGTCAGTCAGCTCAGGGGGGGTTTCAGTCATTTCAGTCTCCCCGATTGCAATGGACTACCCTCCAACAATCAA